AATAATAACAATCAATCTGTTTTTTATTATTACCATGCACCACCAATTCTAAATAATGCCAGGGATAAAACACTCCTACCCTTCCCCAAATCTATGTGGGTCTAAGTTCAGAAACTTTGCAATAAACTTCATGTTAGGACATTTTAAAATCTCTCATCCTCTTTTTTATTTTTCTTTTGAGATAAAGTCTCACTTTGTCACCCTCAGTAGAGTGCTCTGACATCATAGCTCACAGCACTCTCAAACTCTTGTGCTTAAGTGATTCCTCTTGCTTCAGTTTCTAGAGTAGCTGGGACCAAATGCACCCACCACAATGCCCAGCTATTTTTTTTTTTTTTCCAGAGACAGGATCTTGCTTTTGCTCTGGCTGCTCTTGAACTCCTGAGCTCAAGCAATCCACCTGCCTTGACTTCTCAGAGTCCTAGGATTACAGGCATATACCAATGTGCCCTGCCTAAAATCACTGAACCTTTAATAAACATTGTATTCCACCTACAAGTTAATTATGAGGACCTTCATTATATCGTCAGCCCCGAATACATTTTCCCATCTATATGCATTCATTTTGAAAATGAGTTCTTTTTTTTTTTTTTTTTTGAGACAGAGTCTCACTATGTTGCCCTTGGTAGAGTGCCCTGGCGTTATAGCTCATAGCAACCTCCAACTGTTGTGCTTGAGTGATTCTCTTGCCTCAGCCTCCCAAGTAGCTGGGCTATAGGTGCCCACCACAGTGTCCAGCTATTTTTTTTTTGTAGTTGTCATTGTTGTTTGGTGGGCCTGGGATGTATTCGATCCCACTAGCTCCAGTGTATGTGGCTAGTGCCCTAGCCGCTTGAGCTATAGGCGTGGAGCCTGTTTTACATTTTAAATACAAATAAAAGTTCCAGGTTATAACCTAGCATAACAGACATTCTTTTTCTTCATCTTTACAAGCACTACTTGTTTCTTTTTTTAAAGAAACAGTCTCACTCCATCACCCTGGGTAGAGTACCCACGGGTACTCACAGCTTACAGTTGTAATAGTCAATATATATGGATAATGAAAGATAATACAGGCCACATTGCAAGCCTCTTGTAATTGTGGAAGTCAAACATGACTTGAGTATTACACATTTAATACAATCTTTTCCTTTCTTAAATTGTATATACATTTTTTTGGCATCTTCCATATTAGAGCAGTCCCAGTGTGGCATTGCTCTCAGTAGACAGGCACGGAGCTACCAGTGACATGCTTGCTTCTAACCCTTCCCTCTCTAGGCCATTTCTCGCTCTCTTCCTTTTCTTTCCTGCCTTGGGTTTGCTTTCCTTGTCTGGGTCCTAAGACCTGAGGAGGGGGCATCTGCCTCTCCTTCCTATTTCTCAGTCTAAGACACACTTTCAAATGTGCAGATGACTCGAAACTTAGCACACCAATATAAAAGATGGCAAAGTAAAAATTCAAAACGATCTTGACAGTTTGGAATGCTACACTGAAAGTAACCAGATAAGGACAAAGGTGAAGACGCCATTTCAAGTTAAACAAGTCAGTTTTGGTGGGTCATGGATATGTTTTTTTATCTTGATTGGAATCATAGTTTTGTGGGTAGTTGCATAGGTAAGGATCTATCAAGTGCACCTTTTAAATATATGAATTATATGTCCATTGTACCTCCATAAAGGTGTCTAGCAAGTGCAATGCTGTATGAACAGAAGGACTTGGCTGCAGCACCTTTGAGAAAATTCAGGAGTTTCTACTGACAATATTTTTAATCTGACTTTAAATTAATGTAAATTTTTCACTAAAGAAACTAGTGGAAGCTCAATGTTGAGATTTGAGAGGTGTAAGTAGCACCACATCTAGATAGTATACTCTGATCTGGGCACCATAATTGTGAAGTGTCAACACCTAGGGTCTCACTTTTGAGTGTCCAGGAGGCAAGATTTGGAGTCATCTTGAGAACCAAATTCACTTGGGTTTTTCAGCAATCTGGTTCCTGATAATCAACTTCAAATTCCTGCAAGAGAATATAATCTTGACTCAAGACAGATGAGAGAAATTTACTGTTTCCCATCTCCAGGCTGTCAGAGATTCCACTAAATGGTCAGGGTTCTACGTAAACCCATATACTCTATTCTGCGGGGACACTCATGACAAATGACCTTAAGCAGAGCATGCCCTCTGTGGCATAGTTATGAGGGCTGTGGATTCTGTGCAATTTCAAGTATGTGAATGTAATTCTGCTCCTCTTCTCTTACTAAGAAAGCTTAAGGGAAGGCAGGTGTAAGAGTAAGGAAGATATTATTAAGGAATAACCTTGAATTTGCTCTAAGTTATAAATAAGTACTGACCTTTCACACCTTAGAGCACTTTAAGATTATTAACAGAGTTTATTAGCAATGTATCTCATAGCAGGTGGGGCCATAGTGGTGTGTTGAGCTGGCCAGCCAGAGGCTGAAACCTGCCTGGACTCTAGGAAGCCCAGGATATAGCTTAAAGAAGCAGCCCATGTAGTCCCCTCAGCTGGCTCTACACTTGTCTCTCCACTTTTTAAGAGGACCACTGGGCCTGGCCTTTGGGCTATTCCTTCAGCCTGACCCCCTAACACTGGCCACTAAATCTTGCTTGATTGCCTTGTTAAATCCACCTTCTTTTGGCTACAGGGAGCTGTTGCAGGCATATCAGAGGCCACAAGAATGGTGTGAGAATTCCAGAAACCATGTTGTACAAGGAATTGTTCTAGAATTTGGGAATATTTATTTATTTATTATTATTATTTTTTGAGACAGAGTCTCACTTTGTGAGAGTGCTGGCCCCTGGTAGAGTGCCATGGCATCATAGCTTACAGCAACCTCAAACTCTTGGGCCTAAGTGATTCTCTTGCCTCAGCCTCCTGAATAGCTGGGACTACAGGTGCCTACCACAATGCCTGACTATTTTTAGAGATGGGGTCATGATCCAGCTCAGGCTAGTCTCGAACTTAGGCAATCTGGCCCACCTCGGCCTCCCAAAAGTACTAGGATTACAGGCGTGAGGCACTGTGCCCACCCGGATTTGGGTATATTTAACTTGGAGAAAGGAAATGAATGGGAAACAAGGCAGTGGTCTTCAAATTCTAGAAGAACTGACCTGACCAGGCTTTCTCTATTGGGCAAGGATCCAGAGGGCCAAATTAGGCAACAGAAATGCATTTTCTGGGGAGGCAAATTCAAACTTAACATGTAAAAGAAGTTTGCAAAATTTGGATTGGCCAACATTGAACTGAGTATTCTTGGGAACAATGAACTCCTTTTCACTGAGAGAATTAGAAAATTCATGGTCAGGGATGGGCAGAGATTTCTGTTCTTGGATGTTCTTTAGAAGTTTCTTCTTCCAGGTTCTAGAATTCTGTAATGCCAAATGACCCTGTTTTCTTATACTTTTGAGATCCCTGTTTAGATTGTCAACTCCAACATGAGCTTACATATTGCTGCCTCCCGGGGAGCTCAGCACTTACCTGCACATCATTGAACTTGCTTTCATCATCTCTTTGCTTCAGTGGTGGGGATTTCTCTTCCCCCACCTTGCAGGCGTGTGTGGTTGGGGACCAAAGATACAGGACCACATCAGATTGCACTCACTCTGCTTCTCAGGTTGTCTTGAAGACCTTTCCTCTGTGGCCTGCTCTGTTTGAATGACAGATTTAACATGGGGGACTTGTAGCTCTCTAATGGGAACACTGGGAGGCCAGAAACACAGGTAAGGAGTTTCATCTTCCTCCATCTCTCTCCTTCACTCACGGAATGGGTATACATTATTCCTCCTCATCACTTCCAGTCTCTCTGAGCTGGAGAATACATCTGATGGCATTAGTGACATCAGTAACCTTGTCATTCTTACTGTTATAAAACACAGATAACGGGGACACATATCACAGCACGTAGATATTGTTTCATGTATACCACTACCATGCTTCTTGTCTCGTCATATAGGAGATAATTACAATTTGATGTTCTTTAGGAAGGAGACATTATATTTCAGCAATGAGAAGGAATGTCACACAAAATGCCCCCTCCCATGACACAGTGCTGATGACCTGTGACTTTTTGGCCAGGGGACCATACAGAATTTCAATGCATTCCATTGGCCTGGAAGACTTCCTGTGTTCCTCAGATGTCTTCCTCAATGTGTTCAAAGAATACCTTGTGCTCTCCTATCATATCTTGTTACAGTACATGGTGACTGCAAGTTCAATACTTTCTCTGGTAATCTATGGCGTCCCAGGCCCAACACACATCATGAAATTTCTCTTGCCTGAATTAAATTGAAGGGTTTTTATGCAGAGGGCAGTTGAGTCCCCCACATTGGGGTCACTTGAAATTATCTGCTAAAGCAATAGTTAGAGTGGAAGAGGTCTTGGGAATTCCAAGTTCCTCATTTTGAAAAGCGGGAATCTGAAGGCTAGAAAGACAAGGACTGGCCCATTGAGCCTGTACCAGAACCTAGGCCTCCCACTGGCTGGCATGGTGCCCTTTCCACTGTGCCCCAATGTCGGTGCCATTGAGGCGCCCCATTTTTTCTTGTCAGTGCCGCTTTGCCATGCCATCAGTGCACACAGGAACCAGCCAGGACACAGATTGGAAGTACAATGCTCGTAAGAGGTGGACTTCCCAAAGGTGCAGGGAAGCCCGGAGTAACCTCTGCCGTGGCCTCTTACTGAAACATTATACAACGGGTGTGGGAAGCCCACGTATGAGGATCACATGCTTAATGGTTGCTATGTGTTCTTTTCCTACGGGCTTAACTCCTACCCTGATGCATCAGGAATGTTCAAGGTATAACATCTGCTTGCTAACCAGCCACTGATCTTATCTCATTTATGTTTGCAGTTGCTTGAGGGCCTGTCTCTGGGCTAAAAACATCTCCATGCCAGCCAGGAGATTGTCCTGCTCCCAGTGGCCTCCTTCAAGAACCAGTGACCGCTCCTATTAGCATGGTGCTCCATCTTCTACACCCCGATCACGTGCCTTCTCTTTATTTCCAGCCTTGTTAATTTTGTGTGCCACACCTGCTTCAAGAGGCAGGAGAAGCTCCATCGCTGCGGCCAGTGCAAGTTTGCCCATTACTGTGACCGCACCTGCCAGAAGGATGCTTGGCTGAACCACAAGAATGAGTGTTCGGCCATCAAGAGATACGGAAAGGTGCCCAATGAGAACATCAGGTCAGACCAGGGCCCAGGGTGGTGCTTGGGATTCCTAAATGTCAGGTTGGGGGTGGTGGCAGTGACAGCATTTCTAGGCCTAAGAAAGCCAGGCTGACTGCAAATCCAAAAAGAGCCTTTAAGAGACTGGATCTGGTCATTTCTGTTTATACCCTCCAGTTCACAGCAGTGGTCCCAAACTGTGGCTGCTGGCTGAAGCCGTCCTGCTGACTCCTCCTGTTTGGCTCTCCAATGTTTAGTATTTTAAAATTGATCCACTTAGGTTTCAAAATGGGGAAATTTCACTTAAAAAAAATCAGGATTTTTGGCTTCTTTTGAAAAAGAAATCTGAAGATCTGGCAAGATGAGCCAGAAGTATGGGTGAAGTTAGGGTGACGTATGCCCCCTTTCTCACACTTAAGGCTTTGTGTTCTTCAGGTCCCCTCCTGTCTCTTTGTGCTCTCTCTCCTCCCCAGAGCCCTCTGGCTCCTGCCAGGCCAGGGCCATCCCTTTGTTGTGGCTGTGGCAGCCTCTGGCCCTTTGCTCACACTGTTTCCCCACCTTGACTGCCTTCTCCACCTCTGTCTACCCCAAAATTAAGAATACAAATACATTAACTCATGACATAGACATCCATTCCCTCATTTTTTTTCCCTGAATACCTCTGGTGGTCAACATAGCAAGGAATAGTTGTCCGTCCTTTAGGGACAGGAAAGTCAAGTGACTTACCCAGAGTCATGCAGTAAGGCGTGGAAACAGGTCAACTCCTTTGCTCCTTATCCAGTGTTCATCCCAGGAAGCCACACTGTTGGGAGATAGATACCCAGGCTGCTGCACCTCTCTGAGTCCCCAGACCCCATGAGACCTATCTCCTGCCCACCCCTCTGCCTTTATTTAATCTCTAGTTCTTGCTCCCATGCTCCAGCCACCCTAGTCTTCTTGCTGTTTCTCCATCTTGCTGAGCTCTTTCGTTTTTCAGGGCCTCTGTGCTCCCTGCTCTGTCTACCTGAAGTGCTCTCTCTTGCAGAGCCGCTCCGCCTGTCCCTTCCAGTTGCTGCCCAAATGCACCTCCTCTTGATACCTCCCCAGGTGACCTCAGTTTCTCCTTCCCTATCCCCTCTCTATCATGTGACCTTATTTTATTTTCTGCATAGCACTTAACTGCTTAAAATGATCTTGTTTACTATGTCTTACCTGTTATAAGAAGCATCATGGTAGAAGAAGTTCTATCTACATAGTTTAAAATTATTATCTTGGGCCCAACACTGTGTCTGGAATGCATTAGGCAACCAGTAAATGTTTGCCAAATGAATGAATGAATGAATGAATGCAGCAATGGGCTGCCTGACGCTGTTCTCTCCGCAGGCTGGCAGCCCGCATCATGTGGCGGGTGGAGAGAGAGGGCACCGGGCTCACAGAGGGCTGCCTGGTCTCCGTGGATGACTTGCAGAACCATGTGGAGCACTTTGGGGAGGAGGAGCAGAAGGAGCTGCGGGTAGACGTGGACACGTTCTTGCAGTACTGGCCGCCCCAGAGCCAGCCGTTCAGCATTCAGTACATCTCGCACATCTTCGGAGTGGTAGGGCCTGGATCCCTCCCCCACCCTCCCTGTCTTTCTCCTTCTTTATTCCCTCCTCCTCCTTTGGGAGGGTGGGGCCTTGTGGAGGTGAATAGCTCTAAGGGTGAAGCCCCATCTGCCCTGGAGGGTGACTTCTATTTCTATAAAGACCATGTTTCCCCAGGCAGCCGGAGGCTCTGGGGATGTCTGCCCTCAATTTAGCAGAAGTAGCAGAATCACCTACTGCTTCTCCCATTTAGGGCCAGGCCCTTATATGACTCAAGTAAGAAAATCCAGAAATTCTAGAAAGTAAGATTCCTCTTAAAGGAGGGATGTTATTCAATAAGCTGGATTTGTCCAACTAAGCAATTTCCAGAAGCTGCCAGGCCAGATTTGGGAGGGGAGGCCAAACAATAACTGAAGGGGAACAGAATCTTAAATGAAGACCTCTCACCTCATATTGTTTTTCTGGCCTTGTCTACTATGGAATCATTCCTGCTCTATTTGAAATTGGCATCCTGCATATAAACTTTTGCTTATTTATCATTTCTGGATTATAGATGTGGATGGTAATTTACCTCCTTGCTTATCTGTACTTTCTAAATTTTCTCCTCTTCATGTTGAAAATGAAGACTCCTGCTCACCTTCCCTTCTTGCCTACCATTTGCTTTGGAAATCTTTCCCCAGGTTTGCCAGGCAGGAATGATGTAGAATAGTGGGCGTGGGGTGGGGTGGGAGTAAGGCAGGGAGAGGGGAGTCAGGGCTTGGTAGGGGAAGCACCAGAGCTGGGGGAGGCCACAAGAGTCCATGAGGTGGGGTCGGGAGCCTGGTGGATCAGGAGCCCCAGGCCCCAGGCTGTGAGGTAGACATCTCCTGTCTGGTAGGCCAGGCCCCTATGTGGTGATGGTGAGCAGGCTGGTGAAGGAGGTTGTTGTCATAGCAATAGCAGCACGCCCATACTCAGCATCTCTCCAGTCTTTCCCCTTTGGGAAGAGAGATTGTGGAGGCTTGGTACATCTAAAATCTGTAAGCTGGGCCAATAGGCTGGAGACCCAGGGAAGAGTTGCATTTTGAGTCCAAAGGCTGTCTGCTGGCAGAATTCCTTCATGGTCAAGGTCTTCAGCTGATTGAATGATGAGGCCCACTCACATTATGGAGGGCACTTTGCTTTACTCAAAGGTCACTAATTTAAATGTTAATCTCATGCAAAGAACACTTCCACAGAAACACACAGAATAAGTTTGACTAACTATTTGGGCACCACGACCCAGCCATGTAGCTCATAAAATTAACCATCACGGCTTCCCATATATTATTTCGTGTAATTTTACAATATGCTTCTACTCTTAATTGTTATACTGGATAGCCTTGGGGTGAATTGGTGTGTTGGACCAATCGTGAGCATCTTTAAGGGGTCTGGAGACTAGGACCATGGATTAGAGCCGAAAGGATCCTTAGAGCTCATCTAATACAACTTATTAAACCTACAGATGGGTAAACCAGGACTCAGAGAAGTCCAAATACCAAAAGTTAGAGCAGAAAAGATTCTTAGAGCTCATCTAGTCTAACTTATTAAACCTATAGATGGGAAAACCAGGACTCAGAGAAGAAAGAGATTTGCCCAAAGTAACACAGCCTGTTAGTGGTACTCGCAGACTTAATGTCATGAACTTGCTAAATGTCCAAAGAGAATAAATGGAGAAAGTGCATTCTCCTCATCCACAACAAATAGCCATGTAAGTGCCTAAATTCATACTGTATTAGGGTATGTATTTACATATAGAGTAGACATTTGTGTGCAGTTGTTAATGTCTTCTAGTTATTTTTATTCATATGCATTCTTCATACCATGAGAGCAGATATTTGAAATCTGTTTCTATAAAGAATAACTTACTTTTAAGAAAAAGGAAATCAACTGAATACCACATTAGTAATAATCAACTTGATTTGTCTTGCATAGCAGAGATAGGTATTAAATATGACATTTGTTAGATTTTTAAATTGTGAATAGGGAGTATAAAACTACCCCTGAGACACAAAATAACTCAGAGGAGATGGTGATGTCAATTTTAATTTATGAAGGGGTGCAGGCAATTAGGTGGGGGAGAGAGAAGCGCACACACACACACAGAGCAGGGCATGAAGAGAGAAATCATGATGGGTACTGAGGGACAGCCACGTCAGACCCAGATACAGAAAAAGGAGGGGAGTATTTCTTCTTTGTCCCTTTTATAATACAAACACTAAAACTTGCAAGCTGGCTCAGCGTCCATAGCGTGGTGGTTACAGTGCCAGCCACATACAAAAGGTGGTAGGTTCGAGCCCGGCCTGCGCCTGCTAAACAATGACAACTAGAATAAAAAAAAAAAATAGCCAGGCCTTGTGGTAGGTGCCTATAGTCCCAGCTACTTGGGAGGCTGAGGCAAGAGAATCATTTAAGCCCAAGAGTTTGAGGTTGTTGTGAGCTATGATGCCACCATGGCACTCTACCCAGGGTGACATAGTCAGACTCTGTCTTGAAAAAACAAACAAAAACCAAAAAAAAAAACCTTGCAAGCTAAGATTGCGATTTTTGCAGAAATGGGACTCACCCATGGTACTAATCTCATGGGTCATTTGGAAGTTACACAGAAACAGGGGACTAATTGTTTTGTTTCCACACTCTCTGAGGATCTCCAGGGTGAGACTGGGTCTTCTGTCATCTTAAAGTCCTTTAAAACTGCTAGGATGGTGTTCTGTGCCTCCCTAGACTGTGACTGTGGACTGACTCTTATCTTTTCCTGTGAGTAGATTAACTGCAACGGTTTCACTCTCAGTGATCAGAGAGGCCTGCAGGCTGTGGGCGTGGGCATCTTCCCCAACCTGGGCCTGGTGAACCATGACTGCTGGCCCAACTGCACTGTCATATTTAACAATGGCAAGTAAGTATGTCTTTAACTGGGGGTGTATGGTGGGC